CAATGTTTTGTAATGTTCTTGGTTGTTAGGATCATCTAGAACCAGGCCCTTCAGAATGCTCACAGCCTCATTGAGTCTGTTTGTTTGACCAAGAAGAACGGCCTGGGGATAAAACAAAAAACAACAAAAAATGAACTTACCATAAAACAAAAGTTGTTACATTAGCTGAAGCACTGACTGATAATGATTCACGCGCTCTGACATCACGATATACCATAATATTCCGATGGTTAGCGCAACGCTTATATTTTTCCAAAAGGGCATTTTGTTGTCGTTGTTTAACACGATGAGCCGTGAGGTATTTCTTTTAAGTCGTCTGTTGTCTATGTTGTTGTTTTTTGTTTGTTTGTTTGTTTGTTTGTTTGTTTGTTTGTCTGCTTGTTCACTGTTTTTGTTTGCCTTGAGTGAGTGTCACAGATTCAGTTTAAATGTATAGCACTTTGGTTTTTACGCCAATCAGCTGCGACTCGTCATTTCGTTATCTTGATGAAGTCTGGAAACACTTTGTCTTACAAGACTTCGGCCGATCTGTTGCCCTGAAGCAAATTGAGGCAAATTGTGATTTTCTGTGCACAATGTACTGCAAGAACCATCACGTCCGTCCATCCGTTCGACCGTTTCAACTTTTAAAACTTCAAAACGAGTTGTACTCAGTTTATATGGTGAAGAGTACCTTGTTGTTTCTTCTGTTTTGCTCTGGTTGTCGAAACCATCCAGTCCTAATATCAGTTTTCCGTACGCCGCAATAAGGCTAATTGCTCAAATGTCGTCTTAGTCCTGCGATACATCTTGATATTTTAGTTGATATCACTGCCATCAGCCAAGAATAAGTGTACTCACATAATTTGATCGAGTGTCAAGGTTTGATGGGTCCAGTTCTAAAGCTTGTTTCCAAGCCAGTTCAGCTTCTTTCAACTGTTTTTTGTGGTAATACAATACTCCAAGCAACTGCAGCGTACTCGGTTCCTGTTTTACTGACAAAGCCCTGCAATAACAATTGATTGAAAGGCATAAGTAGTGTGAACAAGAGGGTAGCCTCGAATTAGGTAAGCACTTCGAAGCTGTGCCTCGAATAAGGTATCGACTAATTCGTCTTTCTTTTAACCCGGAAGTCAGGGAGGTGTATATGAACGGTACATGTATCAGCAAATTGCCGGAACACGTTACATTAAAGGCGCAGTATGCCATTATACAATAACACAATATACCTTCAAAATGAAAGAAACAGAAACGAAACAGAAAACATCAAACTGGTTGTACTGATTTGAACTAGAAACGAAAAAGCCTGATTTCAAAAACTGAGAAAAGCTTAAACAACAAAAGACGAACTTTAAAACGTTGGGTTAAAACTTTCAAGATGAACTTTTCTTATGCAACTCCTAGGTACTCTAAATTTTAGATTAAAGTGTCAAACAACGCGATACCCCACAGCTCCAGACACACTAATCTGATACAAAGACAGCACTTCGTCTTGTATTTTTGGACTTCAGCAAAAATTTTGATTCAAATGCATTAAGGAATTATGCAATCGATACGCAATCAGATCCATACCTATAATACAAGGCTTGCTGAAAAATAGTCCGATTATCTTGCAAAAGAATAAACAAATTATGGAATGTGCAGTATACGATTTCAAGGCCCATCAGTATGGAATTCCATCGACGAAGATATGAGATTATCGTCATTGTCTTTGTTTAAAAAGAAAATGAAACACCTCTCCATCAAACTTCATTAGATATCTGTGCGTCGCCCTTCCTGGATAAAAAGAAAACTGTTTTGCAATGTAGGACGTTTAGTCTACTGGTACGTAGCTTTATTTGTTTATTTCTTTTTTTTGTGTCTATGTTTGATTGTTTTGTGTCTCTGACCTAAACATGTAAAATATCTTTCCTTTTAACTAGCTGCCTGGCGTTTTTAACTCTTAGGATATTTAAGTTTGCCAGCATACCTATCATTTTTGCGTTGATATAAAGTAGAAAATTTTTCTCTTTTAACTCTAGGGTAAAATAAAGTTTTGTTGTTGTTGTTGTTGTTGTTGTTGTGTTGTTGTTGTTGTTGCTGCTGTTGTTGCACATAGTGTACTACATCTCAATACAAACCTCTTATAAGCTTGCTCCGCTTCCTGAATATTTCCTGCTGCACGCAAATGCCGACCCATGTTCACCAAAGCCACTGTGTGATTGGGGTTGAGCTGCAGGGCTGTTTTGTAATTCACCAAAGCTTCTTTCCCGCGACCTGCATTTAAAAAAATGAAAGACAACACCCTTATCGTAATGTGAAAAAAGATAATGTTTTGGTAAAAGCAGCGTCTTCCTGTCACCAAAGATGTTCATTCAATCATTAAAGTACACGGTGTGCAAGATGGCGGATGTTGTAATTTAAGGCTCGCCCCCCTGATGTACAAAGGCCAATACGCGTTATTAATGTAATCTTTGTTGTAGCTAAGTGCAAATACGAAATCTGATGAGGAAAGATGGAAGGAGGGAAAAC